GCTAAGATTTTGTTGAGGATTTTTGCATCTATGTTCATCAGATATATTGGCCTGTAGTTTTTCTTTTTTGTACTGTCTTTGTCTGGTTTTGGAATCATGGTGATTGTGCTTCATAGAAAGAGTTTGGGAGCCTTCCCTCCTTCTGGATTTTTTGGAATAGTTTGAGAAGAATAGGTGATAATTCTTTTTTGAATGATTGGTAAAATTCACTTGTGAAGCCATCTGGTCCAGGGCTTTTGTTTGTTGGGAGCTTTTAACATTTCCTGCAATGCTGGCTTGGTGGTAATGAACTCCCTCAGCTTATTCTTTTCTGGGAAGCTCTTTATCTCTCCTTCAATTTTAAAGGATAACCTTGCTGAATAAAGCAATCTAGGTTGTAGGCCTTTGTTTTTCATCGCTTTGAAGACCTTCTGCCACTCCCTTCTGGCCTGCAGATTTTCTGTAGAAAAATTGGCTGATAATCTTATGGGGGTGCCCTTGTAAGTAACTTGCTGCCTGTCCCTTGCTGCTTTTAGGATTCTGTCTTTTTCTTTAACCCTTGTCAGCTTCACTATAATGTGTCTTGGTGTGGGCCTGTTTGGAATCATCTTGGTTGGAACTCTCTGCACCTCCTGTGCTTGTATGTCAATTTCTTTTGCCAGGTTAGGGAAGTTTTCAGACATTATTACTTCATATATGTTCTCGATCCCTTGCTCCCTCTCTTCTCCTTCTGGTATTCCTATGATGCGCATGTTGTTGCGTTTGATGTTGTGCCCCAGCTCTCATAAGCTGTTTTCAATGTTTTTCTTTTTGTTGTTCCAGTTGGATGATCTCTGCTATCTTGTCTTCTAAGCCACTGATTCGATCCTCTGCTTCATCCAATTTGCTAGTAATTCCTTGAATTTGTTATTAAATTCATTAATTGTATTCTGTAATTTAGCTGGTTGTTTTTTTGGGTTCCGTATCCCTCTTTAAATTCTCTATTTCCTTAAACATGCTAATAATCAGTGTTCTGAACTCTGTGTCAGATAGGTTGTTTATCTCTATTTCCTCTAGTTCCACTGATTCAGGAGGTTGCTTCTGTTCTTTTATTTGGGCTGTGTTTCTTTGTTTCCCCATTCTGGCTTACTTTTTGTGTTTGCTTCGGTGTAATAGGTAGTTCCCCTAGATCTCACTGTCTTTTCTGGGTGGACTTATGTGGTCCTTTATATTTGAATTACTTAGACTCCCTTTTCTCCTTTGTGTGTGTACCAGAGGTGTTCCTTGTGTTGTGTGTATTTTCCTGTTGAGGTCGAGTTTTGACTGCCTTGGCTTGTCAGTAGGTGGGATTGACTTCCAGGCTGACTAACCATGAGGATTAGCTGTGTCCACAGTTTATGAGCTGCTGTGTGAGGTTTGACCTCTCTGATGAGGCTTGTCCCCTATGGGGTCTTGTGGCTGTAGTGATTTTCCTTTGGGTGTGACTCTTGTAGGTCAGACCCCGTAATGCTCTGGTTTTATCTAAAGTTGGTCTCTGGGTGTGATGATTCTTGTGCCTCTTTGGATGGGCCCTGCTGCAGAGTGGGTTTTAGAGTAAAAGAGATCAACAAGCACAGCCACAACAGCCACCAAAGGTAACCAGATACTCTCAGATGTGCAAAACAACCATCATGTACTACACTCAACATGTACAGAAATATCAAGCATACAAAAGGAAAAAACAAATCAACAGAAACAAAACAACAAAAAACAAGGAACAAGTAGCAAAACAAAATAAAATAAAAATAGAATAAAATAAAAAATAAAATAAACTCGAGAAACAAAATAGCAATGGCCAAAAAAAAAATTGCAGAAAAAAATGGAAAGGAGGAGGAAAAGTAGTATAGTGACAAGAGAGCAGAAAAGAAGGGAGAGAGAGAGGGTAGGAAAGAAAGAAGGAAAGAGAGAGAAAAAAAAGTAAAAAGAAAAAAATATATCTACACCCCCATATATATGAACGTATATATCCACATGTATTCTCCTTTTTATATGCCTATATTAAAAACAAAATAATAATGAAATAGAATAAACCAAAAACAATTAATACAAGCAACCAATGAAAACCCCCCCCCAAAACATCCAAAAGAACCAATTAACAACAACTCTATAACACACTAAAAAAACCCCCAAAATACATACAAACAAACAAAAAAAAACAAAAAGAAAAACAAGAAACAACCAGTGCCAATCTTGGCTGAAGTCCTCCACACTTTCCTCAGGCTTTCCTCTGCTGTACACACACTCCTATGCGTCTTGTGGGGGCCGAGCTGCCTGCCTGGCGCCTAGAGTGACCCTGGTCATGCAGGTCTATTTTAGATGAGTGGGGTTATGAGGTGTGATTAGTAGTTTTTTTTACCAAGTCAGTGCTGTTTCTGCTCCCGCCTGCCCAGAGGCACGCTGAGTGCTGCGTAGCCAGAGGGCTGGTTGTGCGTCTCCAGGCACTCTTTCCACTGGGGGCTGATGTGGTGGTGGAGATTTCAGAGCTGCTAGAAGCCACCTGCCTGGGAGGCCTGAGTGACACAGCCGCTATAGTTGCTTGGCCTCTGGAGCCTCACAGGAGAGGCGGGGGCAGGGGCGGTGTGTTTAGGCCCACACTCCTGCAGCCTCTTCTCATGCGGGGTTTCTCAACCCCCTGGGAGTAGGAGCGCCTCTGTAATCTGTCCTTATTCCTCTCTTTAGGGGCCAACCTAAGACTCTGGCAAGGTGAGGGCCAAGGTTCCTGAGGGAGGGTGAGGGTGGGCTCTTATCTATGCAGTTTTTTGGGGTTTTTTTTTTCTGTCCAAGAAAGAAAGTGGGGGAAAAAAAAAGCCGCCTCACTGTTTTGAGCTCAGACTCTCCAGCAGAGCCCCTGCTGCGCTCCAGGAGCCCACCCTTGGTGCTGCAGCTTGTGTCTCCACAGCTGCGGTGTGGCTGCGTCTCCACGCTTCTGGCTTCCCTCTTCTGCTCAGCCAGTTAGAGGTTACTGCCTCAGAGTCCGCAGTGCCCTGGGGCTCCCTCCTGTCACACTCCCAGCGGGAAGGTTGGCCCAGAGGCTGAGCCCGCCTTGAAGCTGCAAACGCCTGTGCTGTGTCCTGGCTTCCTACAGCTCTGCAGCCGGGGGCGCGGACAGACTGTACCTCTGCTCGCCCGGCCTGAGGATTCTGCCCTGGCGCGCGGGCTGGAGGTGCGGGGAGCCAGTCGCGGGGGACTCTCTCCGATCTGCTCTCGGAGACCCTGAGTCTCAAACGCCACCGGTGTGGGCTGTGGCTCCACACGTCTGTCCTCTTACTTCCCCCACTGGCCGGTCCGTCCGCCCACCTTTAAGTACTTGGCATGGGAGTCCCTTCGCTGCTCAGCGTGCTCGGTAGAGGTTTGTTTGTCGAGCTCCAGCTGTTCAAATTGCGGCGATTTGCAGTGGAGAATTCAGGGAGCCCTTCTCACCGCCGCCATGTTTTCCAGGATAGTCTTTTAAAATAGATGTTTATTGAAAGATAACATACACACAATTCATGTATGTGTACATGCACGTAAGTGTACAGCATTTGAATTTTTCACAAAACACACCACTGAAACTACTGCCTATGTCAAATTTTTACTAAGTGAGCACAGCCATGTTAGCACTTCTCAGTCCAAGAAATAGAACTTGACCAAGCTTGTTTCTGTAGTCATTCTACCTCTTGCTCACATGTCATCACTAACCTGGCCACCAAGACTTAGATCAAAGTTTGCCTTGAAGGTCTACATTTAATTTTGTTTAGATTTCCCGAAGCAGGGTTACTAGATCAAGAAGTATGAATATTTTAAAGTATCTTTAGTTCATATAACTGAATTGCTTTCAAAGAATCATGTCATTTTATCACCACTTGTATGAAAATATGGAAAGGACTTTTGTTCCTAAGTGTGGGAAGGGAGAGAAATGAGGATCGAGTATAAAGAGACCGAGTTCTGGACTGTGAATAGGACCAAGTGGAATTGTTTTACTTTAGGGAAATTCCAGCAATGTTTAGAAAGTTTATTTTACCCACCTTGAAAATCTTTATCTGGACGTTGCCAATCATTATGGTAGAAAAAAAAGAGAGCATGATGAACCATGCACTCTGGTTCTTCAGATGTGGACGCAAGTGACACAAAAACTGCCCACGTTACGGTGGCCAAAGAAAGACACATGAGTTCAGTCGAGTTAGAGGAAAATATAATGTAATCCTCCCACAGGGACAGGTACCACAGGGAGCAAAACTGGAATATTTGGCAAACGAAAATACCACCCACCATACTCTCTGTTTGATGGCTGCCTTATCCATGAAGATTTCAGGTCATTTAGATCACTTAATCTTTTTTCTATAGAGGCACACACTGGCCTTGGGTGAGGAGGTCCTGGATCTCCACATAGGACTGTAACTGCTGTAAATTATAGTGGGGCATTTGGGTATTGCTGAACTTTTTGCAGTGTGCATTCTTCTTTTCTAAGAAGAGGCCCAGAAACATGCTTATTCATTAAGTGGTGATGGAGAAAAGCTCAGTTCGGGTTATGAGACTCCTTTGGTGGAAAGCAATCGCTCTTTAGGAAACAAAGTTTTTATAGCTCGTTTACATGGTCTGGTGATGCACTCTCTAGGAAGGTATTCAGGAAATGTTTTCCCAGTCCATGTAATGACACTTACAGAATTTAGAGCTTTTCTTCCTGGCACAGCAAGAGAACTGGCCTGGCTGGTTCACCAAGAGGCTTGCTCCAGGTCCCAGGCATGCCTTTTTGTTGTGGTGAACGTCCTGCCTTTGTCCTTTACCACTGTAAGTTTGCATTTTTCTTTACTGCCATTCTTTCCTATAATAGCTATTTTGTCATATTGATTGATAACATCAAGAATCTATTCTCATATCACTTTCTCTTTATGTCTCCATCAAAGACATAAATGTTTTCAGTTAGGACATGATGCTCAGAGAAACAGGTGCACGATGGAGGGGGTATCACTGTAGTGTGAGGTGAACTCTGATTTAACATGGTGTTTCTCTTTTGTTCCCCAAAGATCTCTTCTGTCTAGGGATGGTGGAGTTGAAGAAAGGCTCCTTTAACCCCTCTTCAGGATGAACCCCCTGCCAGAAGACATGGAGAACGCTCTCACAGGGAGCCAGAGCTCTCATGCTTCTTTACGTGATGTCCATTCCATCAACCCTACACACCTCATGGCCAGGATCGAGTCCTATGAAGGAAGGGAAAAGAAAGGCATATCTGATGTCAGGAGGACTTTCTGTTTGTTTGTCACCTTTGACCTCTTATTTGTAACATTACTGTGGATAATAGAGTTAAATGTAAGTATTTTTTCCCCATAATTTTATAAGAATTGTTTCCAGAAAGAAAAAATAATTTTCCTTTTCTTTCTTTTTCTTCCTTCCTTCCTTCCTTCCTTCCTTCCTTCCTTCCTTTCTTTCTTTCTTTCTTTCTTTCTTTCTTTCTTTCTTTCTTTCTTTCTTTCTTTCTTTCTTTCTTTCATCATTTCTCACTCATATAGTGAATTTCATTTTTTTTTTTCCCATATGAAGCAACATTGGCCTTCTCCAGCTGATTTGGACATCTCTTTTTCTTTACTGTTACTCTTTAAAACAAACCTGATTAATTTAAAACTCACTTTGGGATTTTGAAATGTGGATTCATGGTGTTTTGCGCTATAACAGGAGTTGGCAGACTACAGCCTGGGGCCAAATTCAGCTGACCTGTTTTTATAAGTAAAGTTTTATTGGAATACAGCCCTGCCCATCTGTTTAGATAGTACCTGTGGCTGGCTGGCTTTTGTGCTGAGGAGTTGTGTAGTTCTGACAGAGTCCGGCCCACAGAGGCAGAACTATTTACTCCCTGGCCCTTTTTACAAAACGATTGCTGGCCCTTCTCTAAAAGATGGAGCTCCTGGAATATGTTTCAGGTATTGCAACTACTTTTCTGATTCCCATATTTAGGATTTGGCATGTATTCTTTTCATTTTGCAAAGAGATTATTCATATTTCATCAAAAAAATATCTTAGAGGCATTTGGAGCTCTGTCTATATTTTGTCAGGGTTATGCAGTTATACAGCTAAATAATTGTCTAGACTAGTACAGTCCAATACAAATATAATGCAAACCTCATATGTAATTTTAAGTTTTCTAGTTGCTACATTTCTTTAATACAAGTAAAAGTAAACAGGTACAATGTATTTTAATCATATATTTTATTTAACCCAATATATCTGTTTCTTCCCAAAGCCTTGGTTCTGTTTACATTCCTTACCAACAAATAGGTAAACTCTTTCAGGATGCTTTCCTCCCAGGCAAAAGCTGTCTGCTTCCTCCATTTTCAACAGTTCATTTATTTCCAAGAAATATTTGCTAAGGCCTAGGTAGTAATAGTTATTAACTGTTTGTTATTAAGAGATTATTCTTTGCTAGGCAGTGCTTAGGTGCTTTGTGATAAATTTATTAAAATAGAAAAAATATTAAAAGATGCTGAGATTTCTGTTTGGAAATAATTTTTAATTTTGCCGTTTTATAGTGTCAACATCTTAATCTAAACTCTAATATTCTGAATCATAACGGCAATTTTAACTTTAGACTCTTAGTAATTAAGGTCATTGGACTCATTTGATTTCATCATGAATCCTAATAGAGGAACAAAACTCTTTATGAAAGCAGATACTTACATCAGAAAATAAGATTGTCCCAGAATTGCAGTAATCTACCACATGCATCTACTGTTAGGTTTCTGTTTACAGATTTCCCTTCTGTTAATGTAGCACTTATTTTTGTTTAAAACCAAACAGTCCAGTGATATGACACAATAATTTAGAGCACCTCTTTTTACTATTTGTTACCCACATGGACACATTAAAGAAAATATTTAATGTATAGTTTAAAGGAGTAATATGTTTTTAGAACTCACAGCTGTGTAATGACAGATGAAGAAGAAATGCATCTTTTAACAGGAAAGCAGAGCAGCAGTTTCAAGGGAGCACACACTTACAAATTATTGTGGTGACAGATAAAATCAAGAACTTCTTTGATTTACCACTAATATCGCTACATGCTTTTAAGTGAGGGAAGCCATGGGGCAGAGCTCTGGTGGGCTTCACGAGACCGCACTTCTCACTTCTCTCCTTTTTTATTGCATCAAGAAAATTGAACTGGAGGTGAAGTGCTCTGTACTCTGTTCTTGTTCATGAGAAGAAACCGGCTTACATCTGTGTGACATGGTATTAATGAACAATCACCAGGCCTAGCGATTATGAAATGTGTTTTTATCCTGACCTTTTCACTGACTGCCAGTTTCCCCAGTTATAAAATTAAAAGATGACACAGAGTATATGATCTTTGGGATAGTGCATCATGACTTCTTTAGCAAGGTTTATTTTCTAAATATTCAATTTCTGGTTCTATTTGTTTTGAATTGTCAATCCTGACCTGGGTTTTTCACTATATACTATACCATCCCTTTTGTCTGTCTCTGTAAATCTCTAATCACTCAAATCCACTTTTTTTTACATGTCTGTACATTTACTAAGTGCCAGGGTATAGACTTCCGATACAGGTGTCACAAGCTCCACAGAAAACTATATCAGATATATTCTGACTTAGCCACTTATTCTCCTTGCTCCAGGGAGCTGACTGGCACCAGCCAACCCTTATCGTGTAGGGACTCGCAAGCCTAGAGAAGCCAAATACCACATGGTTCATTTTTCTTCTAGAAGACCTTAGGGTAGCTGGCTTCTTTGGGGCCAGCTGGAGGGATGGCTCTGATTCTGTCTAGGGCTTCCTGGTACACCCTTGAGTAGACTGATTTCCTGCCTTGATCTGGAATTTACCATGGCTTGAGATCCCTGAGACTCTATTCCTCTCCCTCTATCCCTCCCAGGTTCTTTAGACTAAAATGGACAGGAATCAAAGACAGTAGAAAGGAAGTTCTTTTCTGTTTTAGCTTTGGACACTTTGAGATTATGGTTAAAAAAATGCCTTTATCAATGCTTATTGCCTGTTGTATTATTTTCTACCTGGTTTACTAGAAAGTGTCAGAATGCTTCTCACCTGACCTAGAGCTGTCACAACCAGCTCTGTGGTCTCAGACGAGCCATTTATGTTTTCTGGGTCTGGGTTTCTCAGTCACTTAACAGCACTAATACCTATCCTGCCTTCTGAATTCTTGTGAAGATCAAATAAAAATATGTATATACAGCAGCCTCTTGGCAATGAAAAAGCTCTTCATAGCAATAGGTTATGTCATTTATTACCTGAAATAAATTTTACCTTGGAAGAGAGGGAAAATGTTGGTTATTATTCTCTCACTATTGTTACTTTTATGTTTCAGGTAGTTACTTTCCTTCTGATTCTGATTTTATTACCTCACTTTTACCATGTTCTGTAGTTAAACCATGATAACCAATGATAATAGAAATTCAGATTAGGGGAGGTCAGTGGGTTGGAATTCTCTGAGGAATAAATGAAGAAGATGGACTGTGAATTGGGTATGGAAGGACAGGTGGAATTTGGGATAGAAGGATGATCTGGGATTAGACTGGACAGCAAGAGGGGAAGGGTTTGGAGAGCAAGGTGAGCAGAAGCACTGAGGCAGGAGTGTGTGTGTGTATATATATATGTATTTTGGAGGGGACAGGGACAGGCAGAGAAAATATTAGCTTGGCTAGAAAGCAAGGTGCCTATAGGAAATGCAATTGCATAGGTAAGCTGATTCTAGACCAGGAGTCGACAAACTTTTGAGACAGAAGAGCCGCCAGGGGCCAGCAAACTGCGGCTCACGAGCCACATGCAGCTCTTTGGGTACGTACATGTGGCCCTGAAGTAAAATTGAAAATGAAAATAAAACTATCATAGTTTCATTTATAAAAATTTTAAAGGTCATTATTCCCATAATGGTAATTATGTAAAAATATATTTATGGTTCTTGAATAATTTTTAAATTGTTGTGAGGGACAGGATTGGCTCTTCTAGGGGTCGGCAAACTTCTGAAACAGAACGTACCCAAAGAACCGCATGTGGCTCGCGAACCACAATATGCCGACCCCTGTTTTAGACCATTAAAATTCTTCAAAGCTATATAGAAGTGTTGGACTTACTGTAATAGTAAGCTCTTACAGGTTCTGGAGCAGTTTGGAAAATGTGGTTTTGAGATCTTCCAGAAGTTAGACCTACCTGCCATGTCCAGTTAGAATGTCTAACTAACTAGTGTGCTGTCTCCCTGACACACACACATACTCCTGCTTCCCCCTTTCTTTGTAAGTAAACAATACCCAGATACTCAGGCCCAAAATGAAGTCTTGTCCTTGATTGATTTGCTTGTTTGTTTTGTATTTCTCACACCCCATATCCAGCCTAAAAGTAAGTTCTGTCAAATCTACTTCCAAGACCTAAAGCAGTGGAGAGTGATCAGAAAGTGAGGGAAGCCCTGGATTAATATGAATTTTCTTCTTTAAAGTATGTTTGTAGGATTTTTTTTTTTAAAGATTTTTTTTATTGGGGAATTGGGGGATGGGAACAGCGCTGGGGAATTGGGGGAAGGGGAACAGACAAGATGCTGTCCTTTTGTTCTTCAGTCTAGTTGTGGAGGATGTTGCTTCACTGGCCCAAGTTGACACCATCATTGCGCTCTTCCCAGGCAAGGCAGATCAGTCACCGGCTTCTGGACGGTCGCTCACGGCAGCTGCTGGCCACTCATGCTGGCTGCTGGCTACACACGGTAGCCCATGGCAACCCACTGCAGCAGGTGCTGCAGACTACCTGTCGCCGTTGACTCACGGCAGCCCAGCTCCATGTTGAACTGTTGTTCAGCATCTTAGCTGTAGAGGGCAGTGTCACTGGCCCTCATATGTGGGATCCGAACCGGGGCCCTCTGGCGTCCCAAGCCAGCTCTTAACCACCGCGCCACTCGGCTGGCCCTGTTTGTAGGATTTTAAGCTTGAGCTAAGAAGTTTTTTTTTCTTCTTCTTCTAAGATATAGTTTGAAGACTATCTTAGAAGAGAAAAAAAATAGTTATCTTATTTAACATTTTAGTTTGCCAAAATATGAACTACAAAAAGAATTGTTTTTCATTACACATTTGTATTTGTTGAATGAAGGAACTTAGAATTAAGTGGATTATACTATTCAGCATTTTTCTATTAGAAGTATGAGGGTTCGTCTAATATTTTAGCATTTCTAGGTTCTAAGCACATAGGCAGAAAAGTATACAAAATCTTGTATGCTCTCTTATTTTTTTTCACACATAAATCTCTTCTCATTTTTACTTCTCACTCTCCTTCGTAGGTGAACGGAGGCATTGAGAACACATTAGAAAAGGAGGTGGTACGGTATGACTTCTACTCTTCTTATTTTGATATATTTGTAAGTATTTTCTGTTTTATATCTCATTTTAGATATAATGAAACTGTAACCAAAAGGAAAATTTCCCCTCAGTAGACCTCAAATTCTGTGCAGTTCTATTTGTTTCATCCCTTGAACACTGTCTTTCCTTCTTCCCTTGGTTACTGGCCCATTTTGTGCTGTCTCTCTTGCTTTCTGAAGAATTGTCTAGTTATCTCAAGGCGGAAACAGATTAATGAGACAGAAGGGAGGGCAGCAAAATGTGCCATTCTGATTTTCTTGGAGCAGAGCCTTCATTTTTTCAAATGGCTGAGATAGAACCCATTGATACTAGTCACTGAAAGGAAAATTCACCCACTTCTATAATAATATGATGAAAATGCCATTTCTTTTCTGCCGTGAGATAGCTTGGAATGTATTGTTAATAATTCTGTGTTTCATTTTTCTATAATAGAATTTGAGGAAAGTTATATTTTGATAACCTGGGGCAAAATGAGTCAGTTATAGAATTACATAGATGCAATTATCTGTAGATGAAGCATTTATTTTATTCAAATGAATGCTTGCAGTATCTTTCTAGGATGCCCTGACTTTGACTGGGTTTGACACATCTCCAGGGTATCTCTTTATAGCTTAGAGTGTAAGTAAATCAGATTCTAACATTGCGTTAGACACAGCGTAGGCAATTAAAATTCACAGTGAATTTCCTCAAATTCATTTTAACTACATTTTCACTGTCTTTAGAAACTATGTACGATGGTTACAAGCAGGACCCTTAAAGTCAGAAAAACCTGGGTTTGATTCACAACACTGTTACTAGCTGTGTATCTTTGAATAGATTAGGTCTAAATTTCAGTTTCCTCATATGTAAAATGAAGTCATCATCATTCTGAAAAGTAAATGAAATAATAATACATGGAAGACACTTAGCCCAATGATAAGTACATCCTAGAAACTCAGAAAACCACCTGCAATCACTAGCATCACCATCATTTTTTTTGGTTGAGAATTTTAATGATTATATTTTCTCATGGTTTTCAAACTACTCTAAAAAGTTATGTTTTGTCTCTGGAGGGGCCTGCAGAAGTGTGTAAGGGGAAGGACATGCTATTTATTCCCAGTAATCAGAGATCAGGGTTCTTTACCATCATACCCTTGCAACCTGGGAAGTTCCATTTTTATCTGCACAATATGTTAGGATTCTATACAGTATGTTGAAAAAGTGTTTGGCTGCTACAGGATATTTGTAAAACCAGTAATATAATTTAAGCCCCTTATTTTTCCAAATGAAGAAATTGCGTTTCATGGTTCCATGTTTAGATCTCCCCTAGTCATTGAAGTTGGGGACAGAGCATGTTATATTCCAAATCTCTAGGTATTTCTTCTGAAACTATTGATACATAAATAACAAAATTGATTTCTTTTTTTCCTCTTATTTCCCTTGCGGAGTTTATCTTAAAATAGCCAGAGCTAGGAATTGCCAGGAAGCCAAATGAATCCACTGTCAGGTCTCCATGGGTTTTCTGTTCTCCATGCTTAGGGGCTTAATGTACTGGACAAGTAAGTAGGGCCCATTAGCTTTGATTAGAAAGATTGTCTATCAGTCATGGGCTAGGAAATGGACAAAGCCTCTAGGAAACCTTGGAGTCTGGAGACTTTAAGATAGAGGAGTAAAGAATTATACTTTTGCCAAGTCCAGAACGCAGAGAGATACAGTTGGAATAATGGTTACACATTTTTAGTGTTTAGTTTTATTGAAAGCAATAAATTAAAAACAAATATAACCTGCGAACTTCGTTCACGTAAAAGGACCTTAAGTGAGGTTATCTAGTCAAAGGCAGCAAAAAAGTTGTCAGCCTCCAACCTTTTGGCACTTTTGATGAGTGAGGAATTTTTGGCAGACTCCTACCCTGAATCTCAAAGAGTCACCTGATTTCTCCCAACTCAAAATAAGCATATTTCCCAAGTAAAATGGGTAAAATTTTATTCTATGTTTACTTCTTAGTAGGTGGCAGTTACTAAGACAGCTGTGGTATAGGGTTAAGAGCCTGGCCTTTGGAGTCCGGCTACCAGATTCGAATCCCAGCCGGCTTCCTCAACTAAGGGGTTATGCGGCCTTGGACAATTTTTCTATTAATCTTATCTGTATGGTAGAATTAATGACAGTAGTTGACTCATGCAGTTGTTGGGGTAGGGTTTATATAGGAAAATAATACACATATAGGGTTTCACAAAAGTCCCAGAACCACCCTAATTAATCAGATGGTAGCTACTGGAATAGGCTGAACTCTGCCGACCCCCCAGTAACCCAGAGATTTACAGTGGACTTGACTAAGTACCTGGAGTACAAAAGTCAACTTTCAGAACATTTTCTCCAGCCTTAAAAGTATATCAGAAATATGTAGACTCAAATGGAAAGGAAAAATAAACATTTAGTTATATGTTCTTTTGTTGAGAATGGAAAGTTAATTTGAATTCTTATTTGGGTGGTATTACATAAATTCTAGAGCAGGGATCTCAAATGCTACCTATAGACCAATGCTAGCCTGTGGCAGTCTTTAGCTAAATCAGAATAATGAAGACACTTTGGTGGGCTCTTCATAAAACCACATTACTTTACTTTTGTATATATATATTTTTAAAATATGTCTCTTTTCACATAGCTTTTGGCAGTTTTTCGATTCAAAGTGTTAATCCTTGCGTATGCTGTATGCAGACTGCGCCACTGGTGGGCGATAGCGGTGAGTAACCTGGGTGAAAGGTCCGCGTCCTCCAGGGCTGGTGGCCAGGGCCTACTCAGGACCGGGCTGAGCTGGGGGAAGAGGCAGTTTCCATCTGGGTTGAATCGTAGCTTTTCCTGAGCCCCCTCCTGCACGCTTCAGCAGGTGTAGCACTCCAGTGCTTCCCCGCAGTGGTAACTAGTAACTGGCTTTGTCTGAGTGGACAGTGAGCCAGATGAGACATCTAGAGGCCCAACAGGATCCCTGGCCAAGCACCAGCCCACCCTCTACCTCCTTTGCAATGAGAGATGAGATCAGTGCCTCTGTCACAAGACATTTGGAGAAGTTTCTGTTGGTTGAAACTGCTTGGTGATGTTTCGTGACTGGCTCTCTGCTTACTTTGATAATTGCCATCCTCCCTGTGTCATTCCCCTTCCTCCACTCTTAAAGGGACAAGCTGTCCCGTTCCTTCTCTTGTTGTCTTTAGGCTTTAGACAGTGGCCTTTATTCTCACCTGCTTTCTTTCCTCTAGCATAGATCTTTGGCACATTCTATTCACCCTCAAGAACTAGAAATGGGCTGAAAGAAGAATTCTAAGCAGTTGTGCCTGAATTGTTTTTGCCATACCCACAGAGGTCTGAACACTCACATTTTGAGAGCTCTGATAAGGCAGGTAAATGGGGCGCTAAGCTCCTTCCTCAGGCTGCAGAGAACCGCTCAGGAGAATCTGCGGCCCTGCTTTTGGAACGTGAGTCCTGGTCTGTGTGTGGGCCGGCATGGGCTTGTCCAGTTGGGAGCAGAGTTGCGCTGCTCTCTGCCTGGGCCACCTTTTCTGAGCATCCCCGGAGTCACAGGGCTGGTGTCAGACCACCTGTTGAGCCCTAAGCTCACGTTTCATGGATTCAGCCAGACCTTGGCTCACTGTCCTGAATACGCTTTTGCCGATCCCAAATAACTGTGATGATTGTCCCTTCCCAATTTTTTACAACAGTCCTTATTTGAGACCTTCTCCTCCAGTCTCCATAATGTACACTGGTATTTATCAGACCATCGGTCTCAATGTTTGTTTCAGAAAAGTGTTTGACACTCAGTGAGAGTCTTAAGGAAGTATCTTCAGTTTCTAATTGCAAATTATCAAAGGAACAGGTCAGATTTAGCACATTCATTTCATTGTTTTGGATTTTTATTTTAAAAACATTTGTAGACAGAAGCCAGGCAGCTGGAAGAAGTCAGCGGGTACCCAGCATGCACTTAGTATCAGCCTATAAAGTTAATTAGTATCAGAATATAAAATGCCTCCTCTCCCAGGTGGCTCACTCTGGCTGGAGTGTGTGTATGTGAGTGTGTGTGTTGTGTTTTGCTAACAAACACTGACTCTGCAACTTTATTAATACTCACTGAGCTTGACACCTGATGTCCCCTGACCTCCATTCTGTCAGCCACGGCTATTACTGGCTTTCACTTTGGTAGGGTTTCACATTACTACAAATTTTATTTGGAGGATGGAGTGACAAGGACCAGGTCCTGCGGGATTATCTCTGGGCTTCCCAACCCCTAGGGGGAGCCCTGCCTCCGTATTTCACTGTCCTTTCCGTGGTGATAGTGTCTTTGGGTGTTGTACCATCTAGGGGACAAAACTCAGTTTCCCAGTGCACCAGCCTGCTAAAACGCTGGAGAAAAGACACCACGAGCAGCCAGTCAGGGATTGTATGCCACATAGAAGCCCACTTTCCCCAGTCTGGGTTTAGGGGATAGAGATGGGATGATGTGGGAAGTGTCAGATGGGGCAGTGCTTTTTCAGGCATTATGTGCTTCTGGCTCTGCTGGGTCTCTTGTGGGAGGAAGGTGCCTCCACACTGAAAAATGTCTAATTTGAATGGAGCTGAATTATTGTGTCTTTCAGTTGACAACATCAGTGACGAGTGCCTTTTTACTAGCAAAAGTGATCCTCTCGAAGGTATGGCCACCACTTTTTCTGAGCAATACTATCTACAATGAGGAAACCTCGTTTTCCACTGCGAACTCATGGTAACTGTGTTTCCCTCTCCTGGTCCCATCTGCTCTTCCAGCTTTTCTCTCAAGGGGCTTTTGGATATGTGCTGCCCATCATTTCATTCATCCTTGCCTGGATTGAGACATGGTTCCTGGATTTCAAAGTGTTACCGCAAGAGGCAGAAGAAGAAACCAGTAAGTTGCTCTCAGAGCTAGGGACTGGCGAGGCACCGAGCTGGAAGGAAGAGCTGTAGATGTGGTTTGAATGGAGCCGTGCGCTGGGGGAGCTAGGAGATCGCGCTGTCTCCATTCTCTAGTGGGTACAGCAGCCATCCTGAGAAGGGCTAGATGAAAGCGCAGTGACAGAGATGGCTCTGCTCTCCAGCTCTTAGACCAGGCTTCCCTCCAAGAAGTGTGAACATGGGTGAAAACGACATTCAGACAACAAAAGTAGCCAACACCTCTTCCTCCTCAGAGAGGTTGACCTTTTCTCCTTGTTAGTAATAGTCACAGGACACTAAGCATATTGTGCATCTAAACAGAACTCTGCTGTTTAGGGACAGAGAAGTGTAAAACAGTTATGGTGAACTGAGTCAGCAGTTCTCGGAAGTCTCACGTGGCTGTCCAGACAACAAGGGGTGGCTCTGATTAGAACAGCGGGGTGCCTAGAGTAGGACTGCTGGTGGGTTCATGAAGGAGGTAAGGAGGAGGAAGGCAGCAAGCCCTGGCACTGTTATATAATAATAAAGCAGAACACACAGTTAATGAAAAATTTTAAACAGCGTTTATTCTCACTGCCTGGAGCATATTTTGCACGCATGCCTGGCACCTGATATTTGGCCTGGTGTTTCCTCCCACTTTATTGTTAACTCAGGTTCAGTCAAAAGAACTCGTTGTTTTGATGGCCTCTCATCATATGTAAGTGTTCTTGAGCTATCCACATCATGTTTCCTTCTCTTCTCTCTTTCTCTCTCTTTTTTTAATACCCTTCTTTTCTGAGAACCTTTTCACTGAATAGATATTTCTTCACCGGCTAATTACTCTATATATTTATAAAAGTCTACCCATTTGTTCCGCTTTATATTGGCATTTCTGCACCAGATGCCTACTCTAGACCACTTGTCTGAGCTGACCAGATTTCTTGTTTTGCTTTGTGCTTTGGTTTTGAAGTTGCTGATTGCTGTAGGGAGGAAGGTATTCTCAAGGGGAAGACGTGCTAAATACTGAGTCAAAGGGTCCCATGAGCAACAGGAGACAGTTTTTAAAACTAGTTGGAATTTCTTTACAATACACGTTCATAGTTTATTAATAAAAGTTATTTTAGTTGAAAGATTTCCAAACTGCTTCTTTTTGCTAAGAGGTTTTTTTTAAATGAAATATTAACACCATTTTATTGTGGTTACCCTGGCCAAGAAGCTACCAGAATAGTGGCACCATTCCCAACATCTGATTTTTTCTCTTCCAGGACTCCGGATAGTTCAGGATGCTTCAGAGAGGGCGGCACTTATACCTGCTGGTCTTTCTGATGGTCAGTTTTACTCTCCTCCTGAGTCTGAAGCAGGTAAAACAATTGATTATCATTTGTGTTTTTGTCCGTTATGCAAAGGATTGTCTTGCCCTCTCCCCCTCTCCTTCCCTTCCTCTACTTCTCCAAGCACTTAGCAAACACTTACCATACCAGGCATTTGGGATATGAGAATAATTACAACGTGGTCTTGGTGTGCGATCAGTGGTGAGGCTCAGAGATGTAAGAGTACATGTAACGGAGGGCCACAGACACTCTGGTTTGTCATCTGCACCTGAGAAGATGGGCAGACAAGGCCAAGGGTCTCGATGCTCTCTTATTACCTGGCATCCCCTAAGCTGACCTTCCTTCAGGAGCCCCTGTTTCTGAGAACGGCAGCCCTGTCTCCCCAGTTGCCCAAGTCAGAAAGCAGCGCCCCTTTCTTAAAGCTCAGCCCATCCCATCATTCACCAAGCCTTTTTGACCCTCTGTATTTCTGCCTTCTCTGTCTCATTCAGGTTGTACCACTCAGTGTCACCGCCAACTTCAATTCAGTGTTTCTTGCTTCAGTTTCTGCAGCGCCTCAGGCCTCCCTGCCGCAGTAGCCTTCTCCCACACAGCCCCCGGGGTGCCATGTTAAAAATAGCAGGGTTCCTCAGAACCAGCCTCTGATGTAAACAGCTTATCATTCCCGTTTTAGAGATGGGTAAATTGAGGCACAAGGGCTACTGTAACTTTTCCTACATCACGGAGAATAAGAGGTGAAGCTAGAATTTTAACTCTGGCTCTAGTGCTAATAAATACACAACCTTTTCATATTAATGAAAATGAGAAATTGATCATGTTATTCTCCTGCCCAAAAGTCTCAAAGGCGTAAAGGATTAGGAAACTTGTGGATCCTTAGACTGGCAGAAAGCACCTCTGTGACCACCTTACCCAGTTGTCCATCCTCTTCTCTCATTACTCTCCTTGTGCCCTGTTCTTAGCTTCTCTGAAAATGCTACGCACCCACGCCCTCAAGCTGCGGGCATCTTGTTTTCTTTGATCCTTAACATGCCCCTCGGTAATACTAGCCTCCACTCACAGGCTCAGAAGGCTTCTCCCCACCCCTGGCTCCCGGCTGTCGGAGGTGAGGTGTCCTTTACCTGTTCTTTGGAGCCTCTCCCACAGCCCGTCATCCTGTGTTAGCTGCACTGTCTTCAGCAGCGACGTGGCCTGTTTTATCATTGAGATGTGCACTGGAGTTAGGGACTGTGTTATTTTGTTACCAGCATCATGCTTAGTAAATATTTCACACACACACACACACACACACACACACACAATATAGTAAAAGAGATTCCAGGCGGAAGGAGCTCTGTGAAGATCACAGGCACAGCAGTGAGACAGCGTATTGGGGAAAATGAAGTAACTCGGCATCCCGAAGTAACTTGCTTGATATTCTGGACTATTGGTGTTTGATCTAAAAGCAGTATAAAACACAACAGCATAGTCATGTGAAACAAAGACATGAATTAGCAGAAAAGCAATTTCTCAGGCAGGAGAAACTATTACAATAAATATTAAACTTTTCATTACCTCATTATAAGGATTGTTTCCGTGAGATTTTTATGTCATAGGACCACTTTTTTTAAAAAAGGAAGTTTGCATTACAGTTCATGCTTTTTATAGCTTTTATTTTTCTAAGCCTAATAAAATTTCTCAGCACTGATGTATTTTCTTAATCAGAAATTCACAGCAGCAGGATGATAATAAGCTGAGGAGTAGCAGCACTCAGGCATTCTTCCACAAGCAATCCTGTGTCTTCCTGCCTGTGACCTTTACTGCCATCTAGTGGTGGTGCGAAATATTACCATGACATCGGATTAAGAGAAACAAGTGTTCCCCTGGGGAAATACTTTGTTTAATTAAGATAAAGAGATTAGCAGTGGCTAGAGAAGGAGTGTTCAAGATGACTTACTTTATCTAGTATTGTATTATATTCATTATCTGAATGCTCAGTGTAGCAAATAATTAAAATTCAAAACTATTGGAATTAATGTGCCTAGAAAACAAGATTCTAAAGCAAAGCTTTCTCATGAGGACAGTGGCTAAATATTAAATAGCCTTTCAGCAGCAGAAGTTATAAACTTCTGTTGCCCTGATACAGTGCTGATTGGACCCTAGTAGCTAAGACAGGCCTTGCCTGTTCTTGGCTTTCTTTCTTCGGCACATAGTACAGTGCCTGGCACATAGTTAAAGGAATGAATGAAAAGAAGACAAAGAAATTGGAGGCACTGAACATTGAAGTGTTAGCATTTTTCCTTGTAAAGGATTGGCTTGAATTTTTCTATCACAGAGATTTGGAAAATTAGCACATTTTAATAAATGTACTATTAAAAGGATATAAAGGTGGTTTGTTAGCAGGTTTGCTTGTTGGTCTAGCCACGTCCTGCTCACCTGTACCTGTGTGTTAAATGGAAAGAACAAGGACGCATAGTCCTCTCTCAGATGGCTGCGGGGGGAGTTGTTCTATGTGGTTAGATGGCTTAAACGAGCCAGTTGTGATCCTGGGAAAAGGTCATCAATCCCTAAATCATGGAAAGACTGACTTAAAATGAAGAACAATAGCTCAATTGTATAATATAATCTGTGCTAAACAAATCTAGATGAAGTCATTAAAATTACTGTTACTAAAAGTAACCATACATTTTGGTTTGCCTGTGACAGTCTCAGCTTACTCCTGTGGCCCTGTAGTATTATTATTAGAACTCCTTTTATCTCTCTGAAGTTTCCTGTTTAAATCATCAGTTATATAGTCACCTTATTTATATAAATACATGTGAAACACGGTTTTCCCACTTTTTCATGAAAATTTTGAAAAGTCACAGCTGAAGATATTAAGTAATATTCATTTTTTAAGAAAACATATTTCAGAGGGATAATTTGTACACCATAAAATCCATCCATTGTAAATGTGCAATTGCATGATGTTTAGTACATTTATAGTTTTTCAACCAACATCACAATACAATCTTAGAGCAATTTTATCCAAACATCTTCCTTTATTTGCAGTTGTTTCCCACTACTAATTCCAGTCCTAGGTAAACCACTGATCTGCTTTCTGTTTTGAAAATTTGCCCTTTTTAGAGAATAAACATAATCATACAGTATGCAAATTTTTACATCTGGCTTCTCTTATTTTGCGTAATGTTTTTGTGGGACAGTGATGTAGCATGTGTTAGTGGTTTGTTCCTTTATATGGCTGAATACTATTCCCTTATGTGGACATACAGCATTTTGTTTTCATCAGTTGATAGACATTTGGATTGTTTTCAGTATTTTACTATTAAGAGTCATCTTGCTTTGAACCCTCATGTATATGTCTTTTGTGGAAATGTATGTTCTCTTTTAAATAGATTCCTAAGAGGGTTTGCTGGGTCATGTGGCAAGATTCTGCTTAACTTTTTAAGTAATTGCCAAACTGTTCCCAGAGTTGCCATTTGGAATCAGTTCTCTTCCATTGACCTGTATGCTCGCTTTATACCAGTACCACACTGGCTTGGTTACTGTGATTTTATGTTTATGTAGCTTTGAAATCAGGTACTAAAAGGCCTTGCTTGAAAGGACTGCCCAACTGTCCCCAGAGACCTAGTTTTGTAATAAACCTTTTCATACCCTCTCTGTGTGTGGCATTATCAGTCTGAACATCGAAATAAAATTTTAGGTATACCCCCCACAAACACTGCTTTTGCAGGGTGACCATGGTAGTCTTCCAACTTCGTTCTTTTTCAATATTGTTTTGGCTGTTCTCAGTCTTCTGTGTTTCCATGTAAATTTTAGGATTGTTAATTTTTGTCTTAAAGTCTGCTGCATTGAATATATAGATCAATTTGGAAAGAATTGCCATCATGACAATTGTGAATCTTCTAATACATGAACATGGACTCTCTCTACATTAATTTAGATATTTTTCAATTTTTCTTTGCATTGTTTTGTAGTTTTCAGCTTGCAAGTTTTGTTCTTCTTTTGTTAATCTAATTCCTAAGTATTTTCTTCTTTTCACTCCTATTTTGAATGTAATTACTTTCATTTTTCAAATTGTTCATTATATAGAAATACAATTGATATTTTGTATATTGAACTTGTATTTGTGCCCTTGCTAAACCTGTTTATTACTTGTAGTTTTGGTTTTTGTGTGTGTATGGATTCCATGGAGTTTTCTACATACAGGATCATGTCATCTGTGGATAAAAACTGTTTTACTATTTTCCTTTTCAATCATCTGGTAGATTTAGTTTTGTTTTTTTCTTGTTGCACTGTCTAGAACCTCCAATACTATTGTGACTAGAAGTGACAAGAGCAGACATCCTTGTCTTGTTCCTGGTTTTTGGGGAAAAGCATTCAGTCTTTCAAGTTGAGATCTGTGAGTTTTCACAGATTCCCTCTTTCAGGTTGAGGAGGTTCCATTTTATTCCTAGTGTGTTGGAAGTTTTTATCGTGAATGCACACTGGATTTTTCAAATGCATTTTTATGCATCTGTTGAGATGATCATGTGGTTTCTGTCCTATAGTCAATTAGTATGGTGTATTATATTAATTGATTTTTGGATGTTAAATCAACTGTTCACCTCTGAGATAAATCCCACTTGTTCACATTGTATTATCCATTGTACATGTTTCTGGATTTAATTTGCTAATATTTTCTTGAGGATTTTTGTACCTATGCTCATCATCTTTGTACCTACTGGTCAGTAGTTTTCTTATTATATGTTTGGTTTTGATATCAGGGTAATGGGAAGCATACCCAACTATTCTATTTTCTGGATGAATTCTTCTTACAGATCAATATTCCTACTTTAAATTTTGATCGATTCACCAATGAAACCATCTGTGTCAGGAATTTTCTCTGTGGGGAGATTTTTAATTGCTAATTCAATTTCATATTATATATGTCTATTCAGATTTATTTATTTATTCTTGAGTCCGTTTTAGTGATTTGTTTCTAAGAATTCATCCGTTTTTTTTTAAATTATCTAGTTTGTTGATATACATTATTTATACTATCCCCTTTAATCCTTTTGTATTTCTGTAAGATTGGTACTAATGTTTTTTTTTCCTTGATTTTTATAGTTTGTTTTTTCTTTCAAAAAACTGACTTTTGTTTTCCTAAGGTTTTTTCCTCTTATTTTTCTGTTTTCAATTTTAATTATTTTCTTTCCAATTTTTATTATTTCATTTATTCTGCATGGGTTGCATTTAGCTTGCTCCTCTTTTTCAGGACTGACTTCTTCTTTTCTGCTGTAAGCATTTCAAGCCATAAAATTTCCTCTTATCATTGCTTTAGCAACACCTTATAAATTTTGATGAATTGTGTTTTCATGATTTCCTTGGTTTTCAGCAAGCTGCCTATGATGTGTCTACATGTGGATCCTTGTATATATTTTAATCAGTATTTGTTTAGCTTCCTAGATTTGTAGATATATATTTCTCAACTAATTTGGGGAGTTGTGGCCATAATTTCTTCCAATTTTTTCCTAATTCTTATTTTTTTCCTCTCTCCTTTTTTTGAGGGAGTCCCATTACATGTATGTTAGTATGCTTTACGTTCTGTCATAGGTCTCTGAGCTCTGTTTAATTTCTTTCTCCTCCTTTACCTCTCTGTTATTCAGACTGGATAACTTGTATTGCTCTGTCTTCAAGTTTAAAGATGCTGTCTTCTGCTGACTTGAATATTCTCTTAACTCCCTCTAGTGAATATTTCACTTCAGTTATACTTTTTTACTCCAGATTTTTCAAAAACTGATCACTTTGTAATTTATGTGTCCTAGAGGATCTCTATTTGTTGATTTATTGTTGTCATACTTTCCTTTAATTCTATAAACATGGTTTTCTATAGTTCTTTGAATATATATTTATAAATTTATATATAAAGATAAAATATTTATAGTAGCTGTTTTGAAATCATGGTCTGCTAAATTAAATATCTGGACACACTCAAAGACAGTTCATATTGAGTTGTATTTTTTGTTTTGTTTTTTCTCCTGAGAATAGTCACACATTTCTGTTTCTTTATCTGCCTTGTAACTTTTTATTGAAAAATATTTTATTTAAAATATATTGTAGCAACTCTAGATCTGATTTTTTTTCCCCCAAGAGGTTGCTGTTATTGCTATTTATTTGCTTTAAAAAACTTCTGGGCTAAATATGTGAAATTATGTCCCCTGTGGTGTGTGACTGCTGATGTCTCATCTCAGTTTTTGTTTGTTTGTTTGTTTTAATTCTTTTATTTTTAAGCCTAGTTTCATGGGAGTCACCCCTATGTCTACATAGCTTAGTGGTAGCCTATGTTTGGAGAGAGATTATACTCAAACATCTTGATTAAGACTTCCATCTTCTGTCAACTAGATATGTATATGTACAAGGTGTGATTGAAAAATACAGTGGATATTTAAATTTTAAAAACATTTATTACAGTAAAAATCCCATCATTCTTGCCACTTTCTGAAGCAGTTCTGGAAGTCCTCTTTCATGAGTGCCTTGCTTCATCCTCCATCATGACAACGCTCCGTGTCACACATCACTTCTGGTAGCAATTTCTGTTAAATAAAAACATTACGGTGTGTCCTCATCCACCTTATTCACCAGATCTGGCACTGTGCAACTTCTGGCTCTTCCCCAAAGTCAAAATGATTCAGGACATTGAGGCAGCCATGACAGCATAACTAAAGACACTCATGAAAGACGACTTCCAAAATGGCTTCAGAAAGTGGTAAGAACAATGGGATAAGTGTGTTCGAAGTGAGGGGGAGTATTTTGAGAGGGATTAATGGCAATGTGTCTTTTACTGTAATTTTTTAAAATTTAAACATTCACTATATTTTATGCTCACACTTCATATTAGGCAGCACATTAAAATCTCAGGCTGCTTGGAGTTTTCTCCAGCTTGTACTTTCTGCTGAGTCTTTTCACATCTCCTCTCCATACACTTATAACCTCAGGGTTGACCAGGAGTGTTTGACTAGCTTGGGCTCTTCTGGGTCTGTGTCAAGCGCACACACACAGCTTCAGCCAAGCATGTTTGTTGCAGCCATGACCACAACCACAAACTAGCAGAGCCTCTGGCCCTTCCTGCTCTCACACCACTGAGTTTGTCAGTTCCCCATTGCAAAACTGCCCACCCCATATTAAGTGAGCTCCTGTAAGCTGTATAATTCTGCTGCCAGTCCTCATGACCTCTCCTACCCTGGAAAAACCTTCATGCCAATCAACCTGGGTGTTGGAAGGTAGAGGAATTGAAACAGCTCCAGGGAAGAACACCACTGTTGTTCCCTGAATTCTGCAGGTTGTCAAGCATATTCACTTCTCAGATTGTTGTATGCCTTTGGTCATTTTCTGGTGCTGAAATGCTTAGATTGTTCATCTAGTCCAATTTTACAGCTGCTTTTCAAGAAGATTGATCTTCTGACTTGACATAGTCAGAAGGCCTTTCTAGCATTCACTTTTAAATTATGTAGCATACATGTTATTTTAGTTAAAAGTTTGCCTTTATTTAGGACTCCCCAATAATTGCAAGATATGTCTGCTCATTGTGGCTCAAATGTCATAGCCTGACAGTGGTTAGTGAGCCGAGGAACAGGAGTCTTGGTCTGACTGTCTTCCTCAGCCTCCTTTTAAAGTGGGAAGGCTTAAAACATGCCCATGTTTTATATTTTTATCAAATATGATCTTACAATATATACAGTTTTTGTCATTACATATTTGCTTTTACTTTATAGCATATGCATTTTCCATGTTGTTATAAACTATGTAAACATAATTTTAAGTGGATGCAAGATATTTCTTGGAAGTGTATTACTTTTCAACTTTTCTTCTACTTTGAGACATTTACATGTTTTTTTTCTACATTTTAGAGGAAAAAAAATCTACATAATGGAAAACAAGTGCTATTTCCTTGGGGATATATCCTAAGGAAATAATTCCAGAGTGGAATGATTTGGTCCAATGCACGATAATGTGAGGCTCCCTAGACACTGACTCAGGGCAGTGATAGCTGTGGTCCCTGGCACAGCCCACGAGTGACCATCTGTCATCAACCTGGGCATTAGGAAGTCCGCACTGCTCTCTCACTCACTGGCTATAGCCATTTAAATATCATGTGTAGATTAAATTATTTGTACTAAAGCTCAAGGTTATTTGCATTTGAAAAACATATACAAACTTGTCAGCAACATAGTGGAGGACTAATAGCCCGGATAATAATTCTTGGTCTGTATGAATATTTTTAATAGCACATGAGTGGGTTCTTTTCTGATAGATTAGTACAGGTGATCCTATTTTAGAGGTTTTCCTCCTACAAGAAATAAAGTAAAACTTTATTTTATAGTAACAGTTTTGTTAACCTGAATCTCTAGAGGATGAAACATGTATCTCATTAAATGTCATACACACACACACACACACACACACAGAGTAAACTTAATGAAATTGTTGCTTTAATGGAATGCCATACCTTTACTCCTTCCCCTTCCTACCACCTAGGATCTGAAGAAGCTGAAGAAAAGCGGGACAGTGAAAAAGCCCTTTTAGAACTATGACTACTGCTTTTGTTAAAGTAAGTCTTTGAATATGCAACTGTAACAACAAAATAGTGAAATCATGCAGCATTTCTTTGAGTAGATTCAAAGGAAAATTCAGGGAATATGAGTGTGAGTACATAGCCAAATTTATCCTATTTACATGAACTTGCCAGTCACATTTTATTACTGCAAAATTTCTGAACATTTTCTGTATGGGTATAAATTTATAAGTATGAAAATACCTCAGAGTCGCACATTCTAAATAAGGGTGAGTTCATTTTTGTTTACTTAGCCAGAATGCCTGTGTCAGACATTGTTTAATTACAAATGCTAACTTACATGTGCTGTGAGGGTAGCAGTCCTATGAGGTGTGGTGCTGCTATTGTCTCATTTACACTTGAGGAAAGTGAGTTAGGGTGGATAACTCGCTCAAGGTCACACAGCTAGGGAGTGGCCCTGCCAGGACTCAGGCCCTCCCCTCTGGTACCAGTATTCAGTCCTGCATTGGAAGGGCTCAAGTTTTTGGAGCTTCTGAGATAAAAGATTTCATCCAGTCGAAGCAGTAGCCTTGATGGGCCTCCAGGTGGAGCACGTTGTTAAATCCCTTCATATTATCAAAGGAAAACATTTCAACCTCAGAAATAGAAGCAGATAAACTCAAAATAAATTATAGAAGCAGCAACTCTGCTTCATTATTTAAATGTAGAACAGAAAAGAGAGTAGATGTTCTAATCACAAGAAAAACATTTTTGTAACTACGTATGGTGATGGATGTTAACTAGACTTATGGTGGTGATCATTTCATAATATATACAAACATCAAATCATTATGTTGTATAACTGAAACTAATATAATGTTCTATGTCAATTATATCTCAATAAAAATAGTAATTCTTTTAAAAGATAGGAGAAGTAGTAGACATATTTGGCATGTCTGGGAAGCCGGCGTAGGTCAGGCTGGCCAGCAGGGGCAGTGAGAACGGAGCGCCTGCGCCTGCGTCAGCAGCGCCCAGAACACTCTGGCCCCGTCTTTCCACAACAGTGCTTAAGACCAAGCGAAAGTGTGGGCATGTGAAGACGTAATGCTTTTTTAAAATAAATTCTTGTGTGGCCACACCCACTGTCCTTCAGATGTCTATAATGCAGCCCATCTTCAGTCCACAAACTTTGTTATAAAAACATAAGGCAAAGTGTAACATTTTGCCTTTTAGCACTGCATCTCAAATATTTTTGTTTTGTTTTTTTTCTCTCTCTTTTTCTAAGTGTAAAAAACCCTCACTGAAAATCACCACAGGAAAAAAAAGACTGGAGATGGGAACTCCCTATGGAAGTTGAAATGGGACATCCACTACTGACTCGATTGTACGGCTAATAAAGAACTTATTTATTGTAATACCTCACAGACATTGTACCATATCCACATGCACTTAGTAGCTGCCTGTGGCTGGTAAGATAATGTAATGATCCATCCTCCGTTCAGTGAGACTCAGTCTGATCGCTTAGTGAATAGTTGCAGAAATGTCTAGTGCTGTACTCCTAATCAAAAGACTTCTTAATATATTGGAATAAAACTTTTTTAGTAAGTAAAACATCTTTTATTTGAATGCACAGAATGGAATTGTGTTGTTTCATGTCTCAGATTTCTTTTGTATTTCTTTTTTAGCATCCTACATTTCCCGTGTGTTCTTTTTTTAACACATGCACATGCGCTGTTTATACAATTTTAAAAAGTAATAAAATCCAACATATCAAAATGATTAGTTTTATTTTTTTGTTTTGCATTGCGTATTTGGCCTAAAATGTTGGAATTAGAAAAGGGGGACAAGGAGGGATTGTGAATACATATAAAGGGTCACCAGACATTGGTATTATTTTTATTATGAAATAGCATCTTTCTCTTAGAAGTATTGCTCTTAAATAGTTTGATCACTTTCATTTTGAACCCATATATGACTTCATTGCCATCATTTCCCCTTTGTGTTTAGCTAATTTGGATTAAAGTGAATTAATTATATTGTGAGCTGTGTTTTTGAAACGTGAATATTCACCGTAACGCCTCATAGGAAGGCAGCATGTCAATCAGTTTTCTTTCATTCATGTGTCATTCAAGAAAAACTCAGTTGTGTGTAGTGGTAATGGTGCTGGTTTGGGTGGAAAGTGGCCGTTAACACAGCTCAGGTCAGCTCCCTTGTGTGCTTGTTCTAAGAAGGGGCCACATGATGGAAATGCACTGGGAGGCTGGGGCCTGACCAGCAGGGCTTCTGATGGTGGAGAAGGGGGTGAGGAGAAGCTGTGGGGTCTGGGCCTGGGACCAGGACCTCAGGAGCTCAGCCGTGGTGTCACGGTGTGAAGGCCTGTCATGCAAGTGGCCTCACCACACACCAGTCCCCAGGGGATGCCTGAGCCGACTCAGTGTGACTGCACCTTGAGAAAGAGCTTTCCCCTGACACACTGGACTGGACTGGTGGCTGTGCCACGACTCCCCCAGGAGCTGGCTCAGCACAGACCACGAAGATTGAAGTATGTGATTTGAATGTGCTGTGAATCCGACCATGGAAGCCTGAAAGGTCCTCTCACCAATAGAGCTCCGCTGCCCCAAGGACTGCACAGGCTGAGTCTGAAAGGCTCTCTTCTACTGGACTCCAATCACACTGTTATCTGATGTCAGTCTCCTCTGTGAAGCCTCCCGCAGGTTGACTCTGAAGTCTTTTGGTCTCTTTTGAGGTACTTAACATAATTCAGTCAATGATATTCAATTACACACTTGAACTCAGGCTCTCGCTATCTCTGTCCTCCTGAGGAAGATAGTGCAACACTGTTGCCCACATCCACTGTCAACCCATGCTGCCGGGCTCTCGGCACCAGCCTTATGTCACCCTGTCTGCACTGAGAAAATGAAACCAAAATCTCCCACTCAGTGAATTAAATGCCATGGAAAAGCCCAGCTATTTGGTGTAATGTTAGGGATTATGTCAGTGCTTAGGGATTATGTCCTGAATACTCTTTGTTTCAGAACAGTGTCATGCACTGAAAGGACAGCAACTGAACAGTCTGCAGAAGATTTTCATCCACACAGCACCTAAGTAGGGTAACTGTGTAAAAAGCGGGGAACCCCCAGCACAGCCCAGGATAGTCCGAGAGCAGCCGCCTGCATGTATGTGTAGATGGGTATTTTCTTTCCATTAGCTTTGGTCTTTTAAAGGTGAGCAAAGTTGGTTGTGGTTTAACTGTTCTTAGTTTATCTTGTAACACCCTAGCCACCACTCACCAGCCCCAACCAGTAGGAGCCGGTTTGACTTCGAGCGTTTTCCACGAATCAACCACATTTGACTGAGCACATCAACAAAAGAAGCCTGAGAAAATAAAATATGATCAGCCACACCAGCACTCTCCCCCACCCATGTCTCCACTACCACCACCTCGCTTTTCCTCTGCAGCGCCCACCCTGCCAGGCAGCCCAGGTCCACTGCGGGAGGAAGTTGCTAAGAAGTTTGAAGCCACAGGGGACGCCTAGCAGTGCCCCACAGTGAATGGCCACAAGACACGCTCAGTGATTTCTGCGTTTCCTCTCTGCTATGTGTTCTCAATGCAGACATGGTTCCTGCTCTCTCAGTAGAGGACCAGGTATTTGGCCTAAGGAAGTCTGACCAAATTTGTGAGAATCAAGGAGTAGATCTAATTAAATTCAACCTTTCTTGTATCTTCTTTGTCTTATTCTGTTTCCAAATGGGAACCTCTACATGCTTTCCAAAAGGACCTGTTTCACAGAAACAGAAGCTGATTGTAACGAAACAAAACTTCCCAATTTTAAATGAGATACTGTTTTAAATCTAATGTATAAAAATTGTTACTTTTAAGTGGTCATCAGAAAAAATAGAAACATATGCAACAACTTATTTTTTCACCCACCTTGCATGCATCGCACATTGTGTTTTATGCCTAACACCTGTGAAAATACACAGACCCACGTATAAGTGAGTGTCCTACTGGCTAGTATTATGACTCTAGAGAAAGTGATCAGAGGAGAGGAACAAATATCAATAGACTTTAAATATGTGAAAAGATGCTTATTCTTACTCACAAGAGAAAAGCAAATGGAAACCATGATGAGACCATTTTTCACTCCTCAGGTTGGTAAAGCCCAGACATTGGACAGCACTCTTGGGACTCACCTGAATCGTGGGAGACAGGCGAAGTGGCGCCATCTTTGCTGCGAGCAGGTTGGCAATGCCTATCAATATGACCAACATACACGTTCAGAGTAACATAAAAACTGTTGTTTACCTCAGCATTTTCCGTAATTGCTCAAGACCTGAGATAAGCCAAAAGTCTATCACAGAGAACTGACTATAAAGTATTGTACATTCACAACTGAAATATGCAGTTAAGTGTCCCTATGTACTGACACAAGAGCGGTCGGATGGCTAAGTGAGACGTGTAGAACTATGCTCACTTTACACCACCTAGTGTACCAAGGGAGGAAATCAGACTCTAAGCATATATACATGCATATCTGTTTCTATATGTGCATTCTCATCTGCGTAATAAAAACTGAAAGGATGCACAGAAAAACAAGTGTGACCTGTAAGATATGGGGCCGGTAGAGACAATGGTTGAAGCAAGATTTCTTAATGCATTTTTTTACTGTTTTGATTTTTTAACTTGTAAAGTTATTATGTAACAATTTTACTAGGGTTCTACTATGCATATTAATTTTTCCACAATATTTCCTGATTGATTTTCCATTTCTTTAAATCATCTACATTTTTCGAAGATGCATGCTAATCTGTCATATGACATCCTTTATGGTTTTCGTTTCTTATTGGACATTTGGGTTAATTTGGGGCTGCTATAAATAGTGCTACAGTGAATGAACATCCTTGCACCTAAGTCATAGTACATACCTTTTATTTCCTTAGGAAACTGAGGGTCGATGGTAAGAGCACTTTCCAGGTTGCAGCACGTTCTGGCCTCAACCTCAGCTGCACAGCACAGAAGGGGGTTTTAAAGTGATGCCTGGCCTGTGATGATAAAGTCGGGGCGTCCATGACTTTTAGAGGCTCCCAGAGGAGAGCCACAGGTGTCGTGGATACAGCAGCAGGTTTCGGTCAGACAGACCTGGACCTGTGGACGCTGGCACTACTCCGTGTTTAACTTGGGCGTTTTTCTTCATCTCCTGGGACCTTCTCATCAGTGAAATGAGCGTCATATACAGGCACTGTGCTACAAGGAGAGCGTTAGGCACGGAGCATGCCTGGCAGAATTCCTAGTGCTCACGAAGTGGTAGGGATTTGCTATTATTCAAACCAAACAAAAGAAAGCAAACAAACAAAAAAGCCTAGCAACATGCTAGAGACCATGCCTTTTACCCAGGTAAGTTTTCATCGCTAACGAAATGTCGAGTTCAAGCTTTTTGGCTAAATTGCATCATGTTGGGATAGTATCTGGTTATCTCTTATTACTCAGGATTTCTAACTGACAGATAGGACTTTGATTAATATAAAGGCAAAATCGATTATTACGTAATTGTGGCCAGCTTGATTGGCAGAAAGCCTTCAAAAAATGAAGTCTATGAGGAAAAGATTTCCAAAGCAGTGCGGAGAATTCATACTGGGAAAACCTTCGAGAATCATTGCCTTGAAGTTTACCTTTTTTTGGTTGAGAAGAGTATGGAGTTCTCTAGCCCTGTAAAGGCTATTGAGCCATGAGTGCTTTCATGTGGACTTGGTAAATCTTTGCCTGTTCTTCCCATAGCACACCTGTGCATGCAGCCTGTTGTTCTGGTATTTATTTCACCCACCAAGTGCCTTGGACTCTAATCCCAGAAGTCTGATGGGTGGGTGGGAGGTCAGCATATAAAAATCTTCCCAACATAAAAACATGTGTGGCAGGTGAGCCTACAACCCTCTAACTGTACAAACAGCGTAGGAGCAAGGAGAAGAAATGTGGACAGGTAACGAGGCAGTTCTCTTCACCAGCTACTAGCCTAATAAGGGAGAAAATTTTCCTGTCTCAGTTGAAATTAAAAGTAACCTGTTCCTACTCTAGTAGCAAGTAATGTAGAAGTTAAAAGTGGAGCTCCGATAGTCAGGCTGCTTGGGTTCAAATCCCAGCTCTGTTTGTTATTAGCTGTCTAACCACCAAGATACTCTTTATCCCCTCTCTGCCTCAGTTCCCCTATCTATAGAATGAGAAAATGTGTATGTGTGTGTGTATAAATATATATTTTTTTCTTAAGGTTCTTGTGAGAATTAAATAACATGTATTTAGACCAGTACCAGTAGGTATCGTGCAAGGTTGCTATTATTACTTCATTAGAATGTTAATCATTGAATTTGAAAATTGTGCTAGAAATCTGAAATTATTTAAATTGAACACTTTCTCCTAAAGATGGATGAACTTAGGCAATGTGGTATGGTCAAGAACAAATGGCACAGCTAGTAACAGCCAATGCAAGTAGCCGAGGCTCTAACTATGGGGTGTGAGATAGAACTTCTGGTCCAGTCTTCCACCCATCACACCATGTGGAGGTCTTGCTGTGATGGAAAAGCACTGGACCAAAAAGGAAGCATACCTCCCTCCTACCTCTGAAATGCACCAGACTTACCAGAGGCTTCCATTAGTGATTCTGAGGAATCGCCATTCAATCTCTGGGAAAAGCTGGAGTATCAGAATGCTGTGCCCAGAAAGAACCATCAAAGGTCCATTTCCTTAGCACCCAAAAGAGCAGTTGCAAACCTAGGACACACACTTACAAAGTAAGGCAGGATTTCCATACAGTGGATACAACGAGAACCTTTAGAAAGAAGCAGTGCCTGTTATGTTTTGTTTTTCCCAGTTAAAAGTAGGTGAAGGGGAAGCCACATGATACTAGGTAACAGAACACAGGCTCTGAATTCAGAGAGACATGGCTTCCAATGACTATTACGTACAAAATGGTGACCATGAACCGATCACATAATCTCCCCAATCTATAAATGGTGGACTGTGATTGTACCTACCTCCAACGGCTCTTAGAGGCTTAATAGGTTTGCCTGGTACGTAGTCGAAACTCACTGAGTCCCTATTCCACCCACATCTAACCTCTGCAGGCAAATAAGTTTAGAGAAGATTGTCAGGGCTTGTGCGTATGTGGGGGACTGGGGGTATCTACTATGTCTCAAGTAGAGCTGCTAATGTTACCTGCTAATGCTGTTGAGGACTTGCATGTACCAAACATTATCAATGGATCTAATCCACACAATTTCAGGAGAATGGGCACTGTAACTCCATTTTACAAGTGAGAATATTATGGCAGAGAGTTTCAATAGTTTGCATGAGGTCACACAGGCACCAACATTAGACCCAGGATTCAAACCCAGATGCCTAGAGGTGCTTAACCCTCCACCAAACTGCCTCTCCGGTGCCAGTGACGTTTTCCTGGGACTGTCGTGAGGATCAGGAAACTTGATGCATGTAAAATACAAGTATAGGTCCAAGCACCCAGTGCAGATCATGGGAGATGTTATATTGTCACATTCGATGTCCCAAACTAAATGAGTCTGAATCTGGTGACCTCTGAAAGAGAAGTAACCTGGGCACCTTCATTGGTTTCTGGCTCCCCTTGGAGCCAGTGCCCCAAAGAAAGCATCATGACCACTATCTCGGAAACATACAGAAATGACCATTGTTACAAACAATGCCGAATTTGATAGTTCAGTTGCCAGGCTTTCTTTCCTTGGACTTTCAATTAGATTTATCAAATACAAGTACACAGACAGAAGAGGTCTTTTGACTTTTTTAAAGTTTATTGGGCTTATTATGAAAACAAAGTACAGAATTCAAGCAGCAAAGATGGCGGCTTCAGGGTGTGTAAATAGAGCTGCAAGGCTGGTATTTGGTTAAAGAGCACTGAGGACCGCGCCTGGAAGCTGCATGCTGTCTGCACTCAGAGGCACGATTATGTGGGTGGCTGGAGCTGCCGACGGAGATTATGGAGCGAGTGGTGCTAAAGGCTACCCCTTGGCCCTGCCCCTGAATAATGGCAATATTTGTTATTGTTAGAGATTGAAATTCCCTGTATGCCCAGTGGTTTCCAAAACCGTTATGCAATAATGACATAATAGAAAAATGCACATGTGACCTGAAATAAGGCAAACCCAGAAAGGAACCCCAGCTAGATGCTCAGCAGACACTGTCAGGGACAATAAATGAAGAAGAATTGACCTCGTTGTGCCTCCATCTGTCACGGACTCTTTCCATCGCCACAGACTGCTGTTCTCCTGAACAGACAGAAGGCGACGATGGCAAAGTAGATGATGCTCTTGAGCAGGAGGAGGAGGTAGGTGTAGTAGGCAGCGGTGCTGGTGAGCTGCAGCTGCAGTGTACCTACGGAAAGTCATTTCATCAGTGTCACCTGTCCTCTTGAAAGGAGAGGGACTATTAACAGGAGGGGGTTACAATTATTTTCTTTTTACGATCTAAGTTGAAGTGACACGCTGCACCATCAAAACCCAAAAGTAAACATCTGCTGCACCACCAGCACCACCAACAAACAACAAGACAGCTCAGAATCCAGCTTGCAGGCCAATCAATAAACAACCTCTGCTCAGTGCACTTGGAACACTCCAAAATATTAAAATATTAAAAAGTAAAGTTGCATTTTTAATGAGTAAGTCTAATGAAAAAAAACATTTGTGATAAATACCTTTTAGCATTTCTTCATCCCACCATGTCTCTAACCAAATGCCACTTATTCTGAGAGCTTTGAATGCAAAGTTTTAGTCTTACATAATTTTGACAATAACCTATGACATTATTTTTGTTCCCATTTTAAAGAAACTGAGGGCAGAGAATGTAATTTGCTTGGTGTTATGCATTTACTAAGTACCAGAAACCAGCAACATGACTTTACAGAAGACATTCTTAGCTACTCTGATTCTGCATCTCCAAGTGCAATTAGGGTTAAGCATAAACATCAAGATGAATTGTTGATTTGAAGCATCTGGGGCAGTGTGTGTTGTTTATGCAATATGATTTCTACAAAGAGTACAGTCCATGAAAATGTGGTGTTCATAGTTGGTGGGTGGGAGAAGATTACATAAACTGGAACAAAGTAGTTAACCCAAATTCTCTGAAACTTTAGGAGGCAATGGCTCTCTCACCTGTCTTTCCTGAATGTCTCTCATTGGGCTATGGTACTACGGGTAATTGCACTTAATGTCCTTTGAAATTTTGAAGAAATATATGATATCAAGAAATAATTAACGACAGCGACGGCAGTCCAGACTGGCTGTTCAATGAACCACAAGGCCAAGTCCTTTCCTGTGGAAATTTTCCTTTGACATGCTCTAACTTCATTGAGTCAGAACTCCAGAATTATTAGACTTGATGTGGAAAGGGATGTTAGGAGGTGATGTGCTCAGAACTTCTTGCCCTTGGTCAGGTAAGGTGTTAGCTGAAGTCCAGAACCCCCTTGATATTGGAAAGGGATGAGAGATTAACAAGAATAATTACTTTCCTTCTATGAAGGGAGAAAGGGCCAGAAACGAATACTTACTCTGTGCCAGCTGAATGAGACACCCTATGTTAGACATTCCACATATATGACCTTATCTCTTGAATAACTGAGTTAGGTGTAATTACTCCTGGTTGGCAGATGAGGAAAAGTGTTTTTCACAAAATATAAGTACCCATATTCATGCAAGTAATAATTAAAAGCATTGGGGTTAAAGTTCAGTCTGCAGTACTCGGAAGCCCATGCACTCCCCCACCCAGCCATGTGTCCACTGTGTCTCAGGGCCTTGGGCTCTCTTGCTCTATGACTTGATCTTAGGGGAAGAGTAGATAACTGAGTAAGTATAGGAACTCTTGATTCAGATGGCCTGGGTTGAAACCCCAGATCTAGCTGTGTGGCATGGTGCAAAGGACTTAATTTTATCTCATTATCCTCATCTGAGAAATAGGAAAAAAATATTTTGTATCACTTCACAGGAATATTGTAAGAATTAAACAAGAAAGTCCTGTCAAAACATAGCACAATGCCTTCTATGTAAGAAACTCTCAGTAAATGTCAGTCTATGTTATTAACTACTAGCAAAGACCAAAGATTAAAAACATCTAGAAGCAGCTTGATATCATGTATTTTCTAGTCATTAGAAACAAAAGCCAAACAAATGAATGAAGTTCATTGTTGAAATAATTCCAAGCATATCATTGTGTCCTCTAATTTGCAGTCATCTCATACCAAAATCCAGCAATTATTGTGTTAAGATGACTACTAGGAAATGGCGGGTTGACTTAAAAAGTATCGCTCAATCTATTCTGCAAAATCCAGCCATTCTGACTTTTCTACCTTAAGCCAGAGAAGTTCAAAAGTAAGCTCTTCAGGAGGGAAAAATGCTATAGCATGACATAAAAGCAAACATATACAAAAACTTACCACTTTGCTCTTTCAGACAAGCTTTTTCTGTAGGATTATTAGCAGCGACCTCTACAAGAAATGAGAGCTACTATTAATCAATTGTTTGTATCCATTATTTGTGTGTGTGTGTGCATGTGCATGTGTGTGTGCATGTGCGTGTGTGTGTGTGTGTGTAGACACATAGATGATAGCTAGATAGGGTGGAAGGAAGACAGGAAGGAAGGGAGGGAGGGAGGGGGGGAGAGAGAGAGAGAGAACGAAAGAAAGAAAAGAAAGAACGAAAAAGAGATTCTGCCATCAGAGAGGAGAGAGCCATTAAAAATATGAGCCCCACCACTGTAGAAATAGTTGCTCAGATTCTAGGTAATTCACCAGATCTAATTCATATACTGTGTTTCTTAACCCAAAGAAGTTGAAGTTCATGAAGGATACATTTTTTTTCTTTTTAATCATTACTGGAGAGCACTACCCAAGACTACCTTGTTTTCCTCCTGCATTCGTAGCTCCTAGCACAGTACTTGCCACAAAGTAGCGTTCAAAAAATACTTGTGGAATGGAAAAAACAAACAGGAAAAGAGGCCTCTCTACAGTCTTTAGCACACACTGCTGACCTGAAGGGTTTGTTACCAATATAAATTCATTTAATCCTAAAATCCACAACAGAACCTTACATGTTTCAAGTTGTCTGAGTTAGGCAGATTTCCCATCTAAGCAAAGGACAACAGCCATGCCTCTCCAAATGATGCATATCACTAATTTCCCCATAACTTTCTGGAGCTGCGGTGTTTGTGAACATGACAGCAATATTAATCAAATCTAATGTCTACTGAGTGATTATTTTTATGCCAGGCACTATGTTAAATGTTTCACATGCATTACCTCATTTAATCCTCCAGTAACACTGAAGTGAGAACTCCATGTTACAGACCATGAAATGAGGTTTAGAGCATATTAGTAACTTGCTGGCAGAACCAGCATTCAAAGGATTGTTGAGGGACATTAATGAGAAAGAGCATGAAGAAAGTACTCTGTAAAAATAATCCATAGAAATAGAAAATAATCTATAGAGAGACTACATAATCCACCATTGTGGACACTAAAAACATCTTTTCTTCCAGATATCTTAATTATGCTTTGCAAATGACCTTTTTATTACAGAAGCTCAGCATTTCAGTGCAATTCTTTCAAAGAATAGAAAGATAGACCAAGTCACATTTATAGTTCTCTGAATATATGTATAAAACCTGAGGTGAGAGTTGTATTTATCTACAACATTAAAGAAAGCAAATATGCATAAAAGACACAATTTCTTGAAAAGATCATTGATCCTTGGACGGAGGAATACAGCCTGGTTATTTTGGTTTATCCTTTTTCTACTAGATGAGTTCTTGCCCATATGGATATGCCTCTCGTATGCAGTTCTGTGCAGTCAACAAGATCTTTCTGTGGTGTGTGTGTGCTCTAAAAAAGTGGGTTTGAGGTATAGGCTTTGGGGTAAATTCCAATTTGGTTATGTTAGTATAATCCTGTTTAGATGTTAAAATATCCTCAACGACTGACTTTAATATGTCTTAAAAGTCTCTTTCTTTTCCTCACAGTGACTTTATTCCTTGAAAGATAAATAAAATCTCTTACAATGATGCACTGATTGAGGTAGAAACATTAAGTAACAATTTTCCATATAAAATCCATGTGTGTATCCTAAGTTCTCTTTCTCAGTTGAAGTTGGTTCAAAACTAGAACCAGACTAGTTTTATCTCTCTTCAAAATCACTTCATGTATTTGTGCTTCCATGGCGTATTTTTAGCTTTTATCAGAAACAAAAACAACAAACAAAAACCTTCCAACAGGTACCATTAGAAATCTGCTGTAGAATGACTACAACAGAAGTGCTCTCATTAGCGTTGGCCATGAGAAACCCACAGGAGACGTGTGTTTCAGACATTAAGAGCCAGGTAAAACACAATATAACCCGAAACTTCTCTCCTTTATGACCAGCACCATGGAACTTACTGTACTTCTTATTTTCCCCTGATCACTAGAAAAATCAAAACCTAATAGGACACTTATGCCCAGTGGTTATATTAAAAGTGGGCTTTGCATATTGGCTTTCCTTCTGTTTCTTAGCCATAGAAATGATTAGTGTTGTTTTGGAATCTTACTTTAGTTTTAGGAAAGGATATAAATAAAGATACGAATACATACATCCATGTTATATTTTCAAAAGCGAATGTTTTCACCGACATTATTTCATTTGCTCTTCTTCATCACAGCCCCAGGAGAAAGCCAAGGCAAGTAAGTGTTCGAACCACATTTGAACATTGGAGAAACTCAGGTCCGAGAAGGTAAAGACTCACTCACATCAGGAATTCAGACCGGTGCCCAGCAAGGGTCCCAGCACATCTGGCTACATGCTTGTTCCCTTGCTGAACAAGGGCTTGTAACCACAGAGGCGTGTACCAGCTGGCTCCTTCTTGGGGGAGCTCTGGTACGTCACGCTGATGCTCCGGAATTTGGGTTCTAAGTCTAGTGAGTTACTAGACGCTGCCGGGGCCGGGCCGTTCAGGCCTCTGCCCACACTGTCCAAATATGCACAGCGTCTGCATCAAGGGCACTCCTCTGGGACATCACGGGGTAACTGAATGATTAGAATAATATATCCTCCTTACTGTGTGCGTCCCTCTTGGGAGGGTAGTGCATCCTGGCGCATTCACCCAAACCTCCCTTCCAGGCCTGGCACATGGCCCGACTGCAGGAGATGTGTGCTGAGCACCATTTCCACTGGCAAGAGGTGCTTTCATCATGTAGATGATGGTAACCTCACCCAACCGTTAACTATGAAGTTTTACCCTTTGGTAGTATATAAACCACAAATCTCAGAAAGTTAATACCATAATAAAACTGCAGCGGGTCAGTTATTCTATGTCTTTATGGAGCTTTTCCTGGCTCCCTCAGATGAGCACCATTTTGTCACCTAATAACTCCCTGTTGATGGGTTATACTTTCATTATAGCAAAACTAAAGCGATAGTGACTTCGCTTGCAGAGGACAGCGTTCCTGAAAGATGTATCATTATTCTTAATTCCTGATCAAGTAAAGTCATCAAAAGTGGATTTTTTTTTTACCATTTACTGTGTGCTAAATTGCTAGGTGCTTTTAAATATGTTATTCCATTTAATCCATACAACTCTAAAAACATCATTGTGACCTTAATATTTTGGATGGTAAAACAGGCTGACAAAAGTTAAGTACATTTTCAATCTCTTTTTCTTCTTTATGTTCTATTGGGAAATATGTCATTTACACCACTATTAGATGGAGCAACATTTAGGATATATGGGTGCCAAAAAACACATATACAAGTGGACACGTTGGTCAGTGTTGCTCAAGCAGTAGTTCGCCATCATCAGAAGTGTCTGGAATCTGATGGTAACCACTTTGAGCACCTCTTGTAATTGCAGAAGTCAAATGTGGCTTATTCATCTTTTGTTATCAGTATATATTGAGTATTACAATTTTAATATATTTTCCTCTCTTAAAATGTGTATACATCTTTTTTGGCACCCAGTGTGTGTGTGTTTGTGTGTGTGTGTAAATACTTGACAGAAAAGGAGGGATGTTCCCTTTGAAAAAAGTGTTCTGGGAGGTTGCATTTATATGTATATAAACATACCTTTCTTTATTGAAGGAAAAAGAATCTCTTGATCAACTCCTTTTATGTTATTCTCGTGTCTGACTATACATTTGTGTTCTTTATCCATTGATTTTGCAGTCACGGTCAGCCAGCTGAATTTCATGTACGTGTCATTAGTCTTCATGATATTTCCCTGCTGGGATTCCAGGATCGTGTTGCTGTTCTTTTCCTTCCAATGTACCTTAATAACGTCGGGGAAAAAGTTCTCAAGAAGACAAAGATATGTTCCAGTGTTTTGGAGGTTTACTTCAGCCATTGACGGAAGAAAAATAGTGGGTTTGGGGGAGAATTGCGTCCCAAAGTTTCTATCTGTGGGAAGAAAGGGGATAGCAATTAAGAAGGATTATTAGAAAAACACAAACATTGTGTGGTTTTTTGGAGCAGCCTACAGCACAATAGAAGGAAGAAAAGTTGCCTTTGAATTAGTGCTTATTATGGCCTGTCATCCACGATAGATTGTGAAGTACTTATCATTGTTCTTAGTTTCTGATGGAAAAGACATCCAAGAGGTCGAGTAACTTGTCCAAAGTCACAGCTATTAAATGACACAGCCTGGATTAAAACATAGCCTTTGTCTTCTCTACATGCTAAGATGCGGCGTGACTTTCAGTTTCTCCATAGCAAGGCTTCCAACTTTTGTGAATGTACATATTTTTTAATCCCTTTCGTACTATCAAAGTGGAGCCTATTTTCAAGGTGGAGAGTGGATGGCGAGAAGGAGACCCGGTAACTTAGTTGATCTCTACAGATGAGAATCTTTGGTCACTTGTAAAACGCTTTCCTTTCCCATCCCGTGAATTCTGTAACTCAAGCTCGCTTTGGTCAAGTAACACATTCTCATGTTCTGCAACTCTGTGGAAACTCACTCTTCATTTAACTGATTCTGGAATGCTCCATGTTATCTTTTTTCCATATAAATAAATGCCAGGGGGAAGTTTTTCATTTTTTCTAAGGAATACCCAATGACTTGTTTCAATGGGAATCTACTCCCACATGTACTTAACAATCTATCAAGTTGATCTTTTAGCTTCAAATGTGGACCTCATGCCCAGTTCTGAAATAATGGAGTTCTCCAAATTGATCTCTAATTTTATATAACATCTTCATTTCACATCTGAACCATTCCAGATTTTTGAGGAGGGCTCTATTTAAGTTGCACATCCAAATTAGTTATGAGGCCTAGAATCGAAGCAAAATAGCAATATTTCCAAAACTTCTAATAAAAATAGTATTGATTATTTTCAGAAATACTCATATTAATCTTGTTAAGTAAATGTCCTTAACAGAATTTTGGTTCACTTTAGAAAATGCTTATCAAAACCACATTTTATTTTGTAATTCCATTTGAAGTTTAAGCATGACTGATGTACCATATTTTGAATATGCCATATTTTGACTCTCAGTGTCTCGCCTAAAATTGGTATCTACACTATAAGGCTGCTCAGCTGTTCTAGAGCTCCATCAGTTTTGTTGTTTTTACCCGCTGAATAAAATGTATATATAATTAGTGTAACACTAAAAGCTGTGGCTCTAGAGTTTCTTGCAGACATAATGTGAAAATATGTAACAAAACATCAAAATTTACAAAGGCATGTCACTTGAATGCTGGAATGTTATTTGATGATACACTTATTATTAATCTAAGGATTGAAATAATAAATGTTAGAACACTTTCCAGTTTAATTTGCAATTGAAACACAAATGCTTTACTAATATTCTCTTTGGGCTAGCTTGGAGTGAATGTAATAATTCAAAGGGCAATTCAAAAAGAAAGAAAGAATTGGATTTCTCGTTTGAGAAGAAAAGGAAAAAATCTTGAGAATTTCTGCCTGTGTAGCAAAACTCGTGATTTTTATACTAAATCAATGAGCAAATAATGTTGAGTTTTTTTAATCGTGCTATAAATATAACTACGTCATATTGTGCTTGTTTTAATTTTATACATCTTGCTATTAGTGCAGAGGTAGTTTATTGATTATAATAGTAGACACTGTATATTTGTCCAACCAGATACTTTGTTTTTAATTTAAAAAGCATGTTATATAAAATAAGATAAATTTTTCAAATACACATTATATTTACATAATTTTAGTCTCTAGTCAATATATTAAATAATCTTATTTTCATCTTAGGAACTTCATTTTTTCTTTATACTAATAATTCTAATTCATTATACTAAAGAAAGTGAAAATCAAAATGATAAACTTGGAAAATTTCTGTGTGGTAAAATACTAAACCTGTTCTTTTTCCTTAGCTAGATTCTTTGTAATTTTTCTCAAGATAAAATTAATCTTGAACTTTCATAACTTTCTCAATGTAATAGTTAACTGAATGTTAAATAGCTTACTTGATCACATATGGCTAGTGCCTATATTTTGGATAATTGTATCACATGTTTTTTCTTACATTCTCTTTTTAAATTTATCAAAAGTGTTTTTTTATGGTCAAAATCATTTTCATGATGCATATAATGGGAAACAGGTTAAAAATAAATAAGCCTGTCCAATACATTTACATCCATTCATTTCCATAATCAAATAATACATTTGAGTTAAATTATCCGAGTTGTTTAAATTTATTAATATTTAGCAGTATGAATTCTATATAAATTTACCAAATGTCAACTCAATTTTCAGTTGAAAGGATACTTCAAACTTACATATTGATACTAAGTGTTCTGTATTTTTTCTTCTCACTTTTGTTTTATCAGATAAGTAGTTATAGCTATTTTATGAATTTCAAACTTATGACATTTCTCTCTATATTTAATTGACTTTACATATTGACCATTTTCTGTATGAATTTCTTTTTTTTTTCTGATAAATATGAACAAGAAGCCCAAACTTACTAGGTTTAAATATTAGGGCCAATAAATGTTAGTGATAGGTGATATCAGTTAATATAAAAGATTAATATTTAAAGCAATGAAACAATAAGAAAATTAAAAACAAGCACACATTAATCTCATTTTTCATGCCAAATGAGGGAAAAGTGGTGGTAGAGAGGAACAAATACCCTCAAATTATTTTTTTTGAGCATTTAGAAGTAAAACTGAATTCTCTGGGAGGTTTCTGCTCTGTCCGTATCATAGGTTGCAAACAACCCTTCACACTGGATATGATCTCCCTTTACATTTGGATTGGGAAACAGCCATCCAGCCCCTATGATACGTTACAAAGTGTAGAAGTACTTGATTCATACCACCTCAATCAATTCCCATACAACCCGTCTGGATGCATACTTATCCCGTTTTATGGATTAAGAAACTGAGGCCAGGGAACCATCTCCCCAGTTCACATAAGCATAACTGGTGGAGCTGCACGGAGCTCCAGGTCACCCCGATGCCACAGCTCTGGCCCTTCCACCACGGGAAAAGGACATGTGTCAACTCACAAAACTCACCTTCATAATCAACTTTGTCCTTGGGCCAAACACTTCCATGAGAATTACATACATTATACATGAGCATGTTATACAAATCCACATGTACACAAAATCCAAATCCTGTTACAATATTGGCACGATGTTCACTATGCGTGCCTTTGTTATTAGGATTTGTATTTACAGTCTCTCCTAGGATTTCTACATCTAATCCCCATCACATTCCTGTTTGGTTTTTTCTAAATATTCTTACTATTATTCCAAATTAATTGTTTCTTGTCTTCCCCCTAATACCTTGAAAAAATTGCACAGCTACCTACCTGTGATGACAAGTTTTGTTCCACCACCGAAGACTTTTCTGTCATAATTCCACAGTGATTCAACCCATATCAAAAACTGTAGACTAATTTAACTTCTCTGAGTTTTTCAAGTGCGAGTGGAACTATAGTGGGCTGCAGTTCAAGACATCAGGTTCTAGTCCTGCCTCATTTTGCTCATAACAAGTTCTGTGGCCTAGCAAATCAAGTAAACTAAAGTTTATGGTGCTTTATGTACCTGAAAACAATGATGTTCCTATCAATTCAACATCACTACCGGTGTCAAAGTGAGACCAAAGTGAAACAAGATTTGCAAAGCAATTTGATTAAAATGCAATGGACATAAGAGATTATAATAATTATTAGCAATTGGATTGTGATAACTCCGTGCTCCAAGGTGACATTTTTATCTCTTGGGACCAAACCTGGACCTCATCAACAAGAATTCAGCATTTGAGGTTGCAGCTAAATGAGAGGCAATGCATTTCTCTTGGCTGCAATGCATCTGGAATTCTCAAAACCATCATCACAGCAAATGTGCCTCATTAATAAGCAACCATTTGTCTTGTCTTATCTGCATTTGCAGTGTTCAGAAAATCAAAGGAAACATTGGCTTAAGCCAAATAATATGCAGTCAGTAGATGGAACTGCTTCTCTCATGTTATCCAGAACAAATTGCTCTTTCCCCATCAACAACACAATCTATTTGCATTCCAAGCTTTCACCAGAAATTTCAGCCTCAAACAGATATCTTTCCAGCTCATGCTGCAAGTTCAGCTTGAAGCTCTTGGCATTGGTCCTTCAAGCCAGAATGACTAGATAAATGGCAGGATGCCTGTCCTCAAATCCTCCTATTGTCATGTTAGATCACGCAGAGGTTACCTGCCTGACCATGTCTGCTGAGGGTCACCATCTGTGAAGGTCATTAAATGTTGTAATGCTTGTGGCATTGATGCAGTGCTAGTGCAGGATGGGTTTGTTTAAAGACCATTCCTTCCATTTTATAAAGTGGACGTTGAAGACAATAGTCTCTCTTTCACTTCAGTTTCCTCCTGAAAGACTCATGCATTGAAACCTTTTTTTTTGTATTTTGTTAATTAAATGTTTTATTTTCAGATAACTGTTTTCTAATTTTATAATGGGAAAACACATATTTGAAAATTTGGTGCAATCATTTTATCAATTAATAAAAAGTATGTATTCTACTACATTTTTCGTACCAAATTTTTTTCCTTTATTCACTTTTTTATTGAGATGTAACTGACATAACTCTTCTACCTTTGAACATAAAATTTGACCCTATGTTTCTTGCTAGATAATTATAGGTCTTTTTTCTTCTGCTTTCTTGGTGTCTTTTATCTTCTATTTTTATTTCATGGTCTGACTGTAACTTGTGTACTTGATTTGAGGTCTTATAGATTTTGAAAATAAGCTGTTTAAATAAATGACCAATAGTTTGCGCATTATAACTTGTTTCTTTTTAAGAGAATTTATATTTGTATCACTGACCATGTCCCAAACTGTGGCAGGTGATTTCCATGTTTAATTTCATTTAATCCTCACAACATCCACTTGAGGTAGTTGTTACATAGGTACAAAGAATGGATGGAAATATATAAAAATGTTAAAAGTGGTGTGTCAATATTAAATTTATTTCTTTTTGTATTTTCCAATTTTTTGTATAATGGGTATGTAGTATTTCTATAGTTTTAATAAAGCAATGACCAATGAATCAAAATTTATTTGCTAAAAGATGATTATACAGAAAGTGATAGTCCAAGAATTGAAGTCTATAATTTTCCCTGAACCACACTCTCCTAAAAACATTTTTCAGGACTCTCATGAATTATATCTATATCACCATTTTTAAATTTGATTGCTACAATTTACATCGAATATATAGTCAGTTGGGATAAAGAGTCCATAAAGTTGCTTTTCAGTTTATAAATTCATTTGTCATATGCTCACAACCACTAAGTAAACCAAAATATATATTTCTTTCATTTTTTCAATGCTTTATCAATTTTGTGGAAACTCTTTGAAAACCTTTTGAATGGATCTGGTAGGCTAGAACATCCTTGTGACATGAGGTTACTCATCCAGGCAAAATTTCATCTCTAAGGGTAATGAGAATGAAAATTTACTGGACTGAATTTAGAAAAAAACAAATCCAGCTTGTGACATTCTTGAATATGGTGATGCACCTAAATATTTTGATATTTCTTATTAATCATCTGCTGACCAAATGACAAATTTAGCAAGTTTTTGTTCATTTCTTTCCATTGGTTATTTCTGGAATCAAATAACTAAAATATGTAAACTTCTTTACAAATCTTTCAACAAGGAAATGCCACATGGCCCTAACATTTCCACCCCTTAGGGACTCAGAGTTGCTCTAAGCAGTTAACCCCTCCTCAGTGTCCTTCATGGGACATCAGGCAGACAGCTCCCTCCAAGGAAACTGATGGAGTCACCAACCTCTCCAGAGATCCCACCATGATTCATAACCAAACTGGGACCGAATACAAGAATTCAGAGCAAGCCCCAGCACCTTCGTCGGCAGCACCTGTGTCACCTGTCTCCACTCCCTACTTTAACTGAAGCATGTAAAGAAATTTACCTGTAACGAGGAGCTGTGTGCCAGGACCAAACACTTTGATTCTCCTGGCATCTGTTTGCCCACCAACTGGAAAACCTTTATAGAAATATCTCTTTGTGCCTGTTTTAAAATTGTGCCCGAATTTTCTTGAATATTTACATAAATATATAAAAATTGACCCTGCTTACATTAAACCAAGATGAAGTTGAAGCAAAAGCACACTATATATAAATGTAGTCCAGAACTGAACAACTTAACCTTATCTGCCTGGGCAGCTTGAGTTATGTCATTTTCGTATCAATTCATGTGTGGTAGAGAGTATGATTTTATATTTTGTTCCCATTTTGCCTGAATATTCGAACTCTCCTCTCTGAAAGGGTTTTCATGTATCAAGTCTGATTTTTGCCTACAGTGTAATTGAGAGTTAATATATATTTTTTTAATTTTCAAAGAGGAACAATAATAGGAATAATATATTTGAGTACTTAATAAGTGTATTTCAATATGTTTGCAGGTATTTTTTTATTTATATGTATTGAGGGGTGGGTATCTGGATTGATTCTAAAGTAACTTCTTTCCAGAATCCAGTTCCCATTGATAGTAGACCAGATAAGCTGTTAGAGAGTGTGAATTCTTAATGATGGTGTCTTATGCTATTTATGCTGAGAGATTGCTCCTTCGGACTTGAACATACCCTTCCCGTTTCCAGAGAATTGACTATAAATCCTGTGCTGTTCATCAGAGGATCCTATTCGGTTTGGTATTTCTGCTGATGGGCCAGCTGAGTTATGCAATTAGTTATGCATTTTAGTACAACTACTATAGTTCTTTTATTAGCTACAACATTTCCAGCAAATATGATGCCACTACAGAAAGAAAATTGAGTAGAATTGTATCAAATGACTTGTCATTTTATAGAAATACCCTGAGAATCATATTTTGAGTATTTAATGAATGCATATTCAACACTACTTATTTGATCTTTTTTTATGGGGAGACAGAACTAATTTCTGTTTCATGATTAGAAGCAGAAGCACTATTTTCATGAATGAGTATTAATACAAATTATGAATTATTACTAATTAAATAGTCAATTAAAGTTTCCATTTAAAAGGGCAGTCTATAGCAGAGTAAATATTCAGAATATAAAAACATGACTTACTGGTTCTATTATCACATAATGGTCCACAGCAATTAGTCATGTGATCTTTAGGTAAATAACCAAACTACCCTAAGCCTCAGTTTCCTTATGTACAAAATGGGAATAAGAGGATCTCTTATGCAAGACTGTTGCAAAATGAGATAAGGCACTGAAACTATTAATATGGTATCTGGTCCTTCATAAGCATTATCTAATGTTAGTATTCTCTTAATGGGATGGTTTTGGGCCATTTTATCAAATTCTTCCACCAAACAAAATATATGGGTTTTATAAACAATAACTATTACATAAATTAAGAAAGAAAACAAGCTCATAAACCCAAGACTTCTTGCCTTTCTGGCCAAAGAACATAGGGCCCAATCAAGCCAAAATCTAGAATACTTATTCATTAGACTAGAAGCTATTGGAGCATTGGGACTATGTCTTATTCACCCTTTTATCCCCAGCATTCAGCACAGAGACAATGAATGAACAAACAAGGATGGAAAATCATGCACTCTTTTCATGGAGTTTGGAGCTGAAATGGATTATTGAGTTTAAAAGTCCATTTAACTGTGCCATCTCTAGGCAGTATGATAAAATTTGTGATAGCATGAATTTTGACTGAGTTCAGTCTACCCTCTAAGTATCTAGAGTAATAAGGAGTAAGATTTACTGATGTTCTATACTCATTTACTATGAGAATGAAGCTTTGGCACTGGTGTTAGGGATGGGATGAAAACCAATTACAGGTTTTGCGGATTGTTGAGAGAAAGGAGCACTACGTATTTTCTCAAATATAGAGAAGAGATAATAAAGGTGTCTCTCAATTAAAAGACCATTTATAAGAAAAGTATCTTAAACCAATAATTTATTCAATAGTTCACACACATGGTCCTCAAAATACGTTAATTTCTAGCCTGAGTCTACCCTTTCTTTGTGTGTGTGTATATATGCATTCTAAAAATAGAATTTCAATCTGCTTACAAGCAAGGAAATAAATACACCATTTACAAAGTAGTTTTGTTTCCACATACAGTGACCAGTAGCTTCAAAATTGCAGATCATATGCTGAGGCCAAGAGTGTGGCAGTCAGACAGGTTGATCCTAAATTGCTTTATCTAAAAAGCATCTATCGGTTTTTTATTTATTAAAGTGAAAATAGAAAGAAGTTACTTACCAGGGGAAGTTACTATGAGTTTAGTTCCTTCTGCAAATATCTTGATCCAGCCCGAGCTATCACACTGGTTGCAGCTCTTACAAAAATCTCACCTTTTCCTAAGTTTCGTGACATGATCAGTAGTGAGAAAACTGTGCTGGCCATTTGATCCTCTGGGTTCCTTTGGAAGTCCTTCAATATAGGTTTTGTGGCATCTGCTGTTTCATAAGTTTTCCTCAGATAAGTTGACCCAATTGTCTATTTTCCACCAAGGCAGTAATAATCCACTAACAGAAAGTAGAAATAATAAGTTCAGGAAAAGAACAGGCCAAACTGGTCAAGCAGCTACTTTTCTAAATCGCCAGG